TCCTACCACCTGCCCCTGAGGTAACATATTAGTGAGTCCTCACTGCTGCCACCTAACTGTACCTCAAAAGCTCCCAGGAGTCTTTTTTGAAAGTTGTCCAGCCTCCTGAAGATGAGCTAGCACAGAAGATGGCATGGTTGGAAGTTAGGCAAAACAGGGGTCACAGAAAAGGGCAGAGATGAATGAGCTGAAAGGGGCAGTCCCTGGTTCTCCGGCTCCTTCCAAGCAATTCCCAAGATAGAGTCAATAAGGATGACTTGTAGAACTGCTAACCAAAATGTCAGCAGTTCAAACCCACCAGCAACTCCTCAGGAGAAAGGTGAGTCTGTCTATTCCTGTAAAGATTTACAGTCTTTGAAACCCTATGTAGGGTCGTTATGAGTCAGAATTGACTAGATGGCAGTGGGTTATTCCCAGTGTACAGACAAGGAAGTGGAGGCCCAAAATATTTCCGTGCTTTGTCCAAGTTCCTTAGGTACATCCTGTATCAGAACAGGGAGTAAACCCGAGGCCCCTTGCTCCTAGTCCAGTGGTCTCTGTATTACAACCTTCAGGAGTAGATCCCCCCACTCCAATGAGATTGGGGCATTTTTTGGCTTCCTGTCGCAGACTCTGCCCCTTGGACCCTTATCTGGCGGGAGATGGGAGAGTTAACATCCCCTGAGCATGCCCTGTCCTTAGCCTCTCCTGAACCTCAGGGAGAGAAGGAGACCTCTTCTCTGTGCTGGATGATGTCACCATTGCTGATGGGTTGCTTCCATTTCAGTGGTTGTGTGGCTGCTGCCGTAGATTGAGCCCTTGGCTTTGTGTAGTGACAATTCTCTAGCCACAAGCAGCAGCCTGAACTCCGGGAGATATGCATTGGGAGTCATTCAGAGGCCCAGCTGGGCAGTGAGAAGGATCCTATAAAAAATGCTCATGCTAACCTTACAGAATGTTCTGGAGTCACTGCAGCTTCTTCACAGCCTGAGGCAGGTCCCTTGAGGCCCTTTTACAACCTTCCTTGTTCTTTCATTTATTCTTCAATTCATTTAAAAATATTGAGTATCTATTCTTGCCCAGCAAATAATATTTAACTGTCCATAAATTTTCTGCCTCAGTTTATCCCCATCTATGCCTTTCCTCTCTGCCTAATGCTAGGGTGGTGACAGTTCAGGGATGGCACATATAGTATCTCATTGTATAGTCTTGGCTATTGTTTTCCTATGAGAGGAGCTGGCCTCCTCCTTGTGCTGACGAGGTCTCTGCTTGGTTGAGAAAGTCCCTAAGTTCCCCAACTGCATCCTGCCCACCTGTCCAGACACAATCTACCCCCATGTTGCTGTATTAAAAGGAAGCTGTTTTGCCAAAACAAGACACTTAAGCTAAGTGGCTCTTGTTACATCAGTTGTCCTTCCCACTCAGCACCCCAGCCTGGAGTCCCATACACACACTCCCACACATCTGAGCTCACATTTGCCAAGTCATAGGGGTCAACTAAGAGAAGGCAGAGTGGGGTATGCCAGCTTTAGTGACATCAAACACAGAGGTTTCAGGTGGGGGCTATAAGCCTGTGGGTGTCCTGAACAAGGACAAGGGCCAAGGATCCTGTGTTTCTACATTTTGGTGCATGGGAGAGAATGCAGTGACCTGAACCCACTGTTCTGCTATCCTGACAACTTGCCTCCCCTTGAACTAGCCCAGAGGCCTCCCAACCATTTCCTCCATGGCCTTGGGCTGATTTAGAACCTGTGCCACTTTAAGAAGACCCTATATAAGGAAATCTACTGTACAAAAGAGTCCTTGTGTGATGCTGTAGGATAAGCTCTCGACTGAAACATTGGTTTGAACTTCAAGGTTGATGGTTCAAACTCATCAGCCACTCCTTGAAAACCCTATACAAGGTCACTGTGAGTTGGAACTGACTCAGTGACACTTAACGACACAAAAACCCTATTTTTCATCTTCTTCAATATTTCCTTAATAAATATTATCCTTCTTTAAGCATGAAAAATGTAAATCATTATGAAAAATACACACAATTTTTCAACAAATGCACATATTCAGTGTGGCACACCTATAATCCCACTCTAATTTCAGAGATGGTCAGGAAGCCAGAAAGGGGCTGAAGTGAGAATGTTTTCCAACCTTCTTTTTTGGAAGGTGAGCAAACTGAGGCCTGAGAAGAAAGATATTTGTTCGAAGGTTTAGAGGGGCCAGGACTAGATTCTAGATAAAGACAATGACAATAAACCATAACACTGTGAATATATATCTATGTCTGTCTATCTATCTATCTATCTATCTATCTATCTATCTATCTATCTATCTATCTATCTACCTACTTACCTATCTACTTCTGCCAGATGCTATTCTAAAAGAGTGTTATTATTTGAAATATACTCTGCTAAGACTCCTGAGTTAGGTATTACTGCTGTTTCATTTTAGAGATGAAGAAATTAAGGTACAAAAAAGTTGAGTGATTAGCCCAAAATCATGGCTGACCTAAAACTTGGCCAGTTGTCTTTGAATACAGGGAAGCTGAGAGTGTTCTTCACTCCATTACCAACATCCCTCATTAGGTTTAAGCCCATTGGCCACCATCTTTCTCACCACTTTAGGAGTTGTAAGACAAAAATCACAATACATCTCTCTGCAATAAAGCCCTCAAAGAGAAGGCCTGGACTCCCAGTCCACTTCCACCATAAGACTTAATCAGTCTTAAGGAACTTGATGGGAGTCCTGATGTGGCACTGTGGGTTAATGTGCCAGACTGCAAAGCTGTTTGAACTGCAAGGTCGGTGGTTCAAGCTCACCAGCTGCTCCTTGGAAATCCAGCAGAGTCGCTATGGGTCGAGTTGACTCAATGGCACTTAACAACAACAACAGCAACAACAAAGGAACTTGATGCAGATAAGATTAAGAGCCCCGAGTGCAGTTCTCTAGAGCCCCTCAGACTCATTGTTTTGGAGGTTTCACCTTAAACAAGGAAATAAACTAAGAACTTTTAGGATGTTTTTGTATCCCCAAATATGTTAGGATAGTTAGCTTTCCAGAATGTACATGACACCCACCATACCTTTTGTCACTTAGTTCATAAATTAATTGGAAGTCGCCATATGCAATCAATAATGAAAAGCCTGCTCTCCACCTTACCCTCCAGTGAGTGAAATTCCTTGTTTGTCCCTGACTCTGGATAGATAAGCTTCTTAGGCCAATATCATCCTTATCACCCTGCCCCCAGGACATGCCCCATCAATTTGGGCATGGCTATCCTCACAGATTAGGAGCTCTGGTAGTGTAGTGGTTACAAGTTGGGCCATTAACCTCAAGGTCAGCAGTTCAAAACTACCAGCTGTTCCGCAGGAGAAAGATGAGGCTTTCTGCTTCTGTGAAGATTTACAGCCTCGGAAACTTTAGACAGGGTCGCTATGAGTCAGAACCAACTCCATGGCACATAACCAAACAACCAACTGACCCTCCAAATATCCTACTGTTCCAAATATCCAACTCCAGATACTTCCTTTGGGACCGCTAAATTAAGGCCTCTAGTGGAGTCCTAGGAACTCTGGTAGCGTAGTGGTTATGAATCAGGCTGCTAACCTCAAGGTCGTCAGTTCAAAACTACCAGTGGTTCCACGGGAGAAAGATGAGGCTTTCTACTCCTGTAAAGATTTATAGCCTGGGAAACCCTGTACAGGGTCACTATGAGTCGGAACTGACTCCACGGTACTTAACAACAACAAAGTAGAGACCTGGTGCGGCGCTGTGCCAGACTGCAAAGCCATTCAAACTGCAAGCTTTGCAGTTCAAGCTCACCTTATACAGGGTCGCTATGGGTTGGAACTGACTCATGGCACTTAACAACAACAGTAAGTTACTAAGGAGCATACCTTATCTCTGGGACTGTGGGTTTACCTTCTCCATGCCTCACACAAAATTCCATTTTGCATATCAGAGACTCTAATGTACACCCGAGGCTAATGCCAAATGTTCTTGGTGAGGTGTGGACATGAACCAAGGAGACTAAAGCAAAGGGCAGGAAGCCTGGGAAAGAAAAGTCAAGGAGTTAAGGAATGGAAAGAAATGGTGGTAAGGATTTCAGAAAGACAGTTGAGGATCAGAATGGCCCACATGTCAATGGTAAGCCAAGGCACAAGCTGGGTTAATCTTTCTCAACTCAGAGCTGGTTCATGGTTTCTAGAGTCCCAGATTCCACCACATCAGTAACAAACAAACAACAACAACAAAATAATAATTTTTAGAGGAGCAGAAAGCAATACTTAAGGAGAAAGAAGTTAGAGTCCAAAAAAGATTTCTCTGAAGCAAAGGAAGCAGAGACACAGTTGAACACACAATCTTTGAGAGCCTTCACCTTCACGTGTGTATGAGTGACTTTCCAGAGAGGACAGTCTAGCTGCTTTCTACTACCAAAAAGACCAGTAACAGAAGGAAGGAACCAGATTCATAGCAGAAGGCACTGTGCTTAAACAGAAGGAAGCATTTCCCAAGAATGAAAGTTACTAAGCTCCAAAATAAATGACCAGGAGAAGCTGAAAAAGTTCTTAAAATCTTCAATGTACCTAGGAAATCACATTTGTCTGGAAGCATCTAGGAATCTAGTGAGGAGCTAGACAAGATGACCTAGAAGCCATTTAGAATGCTCAGGTTCCATGATTTTCTGTTTACCAGCGAAGTTGATCTAACAATTAAGACTATCCTGGCCAGAAGGCTCATGGACCATAGAGCTTAGCAGGAACCCTGGATTCAGTCACAGTCTGGGGTGCTTACTTGTCAGACCCCAAATCCTACATCTTCTCCTCCCAGAGGCTCCTTCTAGGAACCATGATAAAAAGAGGCCCAGATATCTAGACTCCAAGTTACCTCAAACTAGAAAAGGCACATTCAACTTCCCCCAAAGCCCGAGGCACATGGGTAACTGTGCCCCACCTGTCTTCCAGCGCCATCCCAGCTTTCTCAGCACTAGGAGGATCTGGCTCTAGGCCAATGGCTAGACTTACCGGTCGGCTGTCCCTCTCCATGGTCTCCGGAGGGATAAGACTTCCAGGCTCAGCTGATGTCCATGGGAAGATCCATGTTGGATCCTGGCTTTCTGGGCATGTGGAGAAAAGGGGGTTGGAGGGTTGAGGGCCAGCCCCCACCAAGTGGGGCGGGGAAGCCAGTTGGGACGTGTGAGGTAATCCAAAGTATAAACAACACAGCAGAACTAGCCAGACCTGTCCCTCCACCCCATACTGAATACCTACTGGGAGTGTGAAGCTACCTTTACTCCTGAAACTGCTCCCACAGAAGCTGCTCTGGGGAAACTAGGGGTTCAGGGGTCTGGGACCTCTTCTTTCAGAGGGGGTTCTGTCAAAGAGGGCCAAGACCCTGTGAAAATGGTCTGAGTTCTGTCAACCTGAGCTCCTGAAACAGGAGCTCCCAAATATTCTGAGGTATGACCAAATCCTCCTCAGGAACATCCAAGGCCTGGGATCAGAACCCCACCCAGGTCAGGAAAGTGTGAACCTTCACCTCCAAGAACCCGTCAAACCCCAAATCAGGGCACAAGCTCTGACAAAATGTTCTTTTTCTTGATTCATTTTATGTCTGTAGAAACTCTTAACAAAAGAAATTGAAATCCAACAGCCTTTAATTATGGCCATAAGGATCGCCTCTATTGAAAAGCAATAAAATGCTGTGAAACAGCTCATGAAAGTCAATTAAAATAAAGCATAAATATCTGAATGGAGACAGTTCCAAGAAATATTGGACTGACTCATGATCCCAGGCTTATACCCTGTTTTGATCCTCAGAAATTAAAAGAAATGGAGAAAGAGAGCTAGTGTAAAAAGGTGCTTTCGTTAAGGGAGGTGGAAAAATCTGGAAACAGATAATAGTGATGATGGAGCAGTAAGATAAGAATAATTAATATCACAAGATTATACAACTGAAGAATGTTGAGATGTCACATGTTTCATTGACTATATATTTAATTACAATTTAAAAAGGAAATGGGAATTTAGCATCCCAATCCTAACAGAGTTGCTGCTGTGAATTGCAAAGGAGTTTTAGGTGAGTTTGGAAGGAATTTTCTAACTCTGAGTGTAACCTCATATGCATGTGAAAGTTGGACACTGAGGCATTTGAGCTCTGGTGTTGGAGAATTTTCAAAGTACCATGGATTGTCAAAAGAATATGCAGATCTGTGTTGGAAGAAGTACAGCCAGAATGCTTCTTGGAAGCTGGGATGGCCAGGCTCTGTCTCTCATATTTTGGACATATTGTCAGAAGGGACTAGTCCCTGGAGAAGGATATCATGTTTGGTAAGGAGTTAGAGAAAACGAGGAAGACCCCCATCTAGATGGATTGGCGCAATGGCAGCAGAAGTGGACTCAGACGTAGCAATGATTGAGAAGTTGGCACCAGACCAGGCAGTGTTTCATTCTGTTGTACACAGGGTTGCTGTGAATCAGTGCTGACTCTATGGTACCTAAGAAGAAGAACAACAAAGATTATAACATTAAAGTATAAGCGCAGGACCGTAAGGTTAATTTGAGCCACAAGATGCTCTGAAACTCTATACTGGGTCATTATGAGTCAGAACCAATTTGATAACAACAACAAGATCATAGAACCGCAGACCTTTTGGAGTTTGAGAAAAGCGCAGAGATCATCTAGTGGTCCAATCGTCTCGTTTTACAGATGGGGAAATAGAAGGCCAGAGAGGCTAAGGAATCTGCCCAAAGTGCCATGTTACAAACAACAACAGCAGTAATATGACTTGACAGTATACAACAACAACAAGGAATCCGACTAAAGGCTTCACATGTAGTAATGCATTCAGCCCTGACAACAATCCTATTCATCCATCCTTCACTCATTCATTCAACAAATATTTATTGAGTGCCTCTTACATGCCTGCCACTGTTCTAGGTGCTGGGAACACAGTGAGCAAAATAGGCAAAGATCCCTGACCTTTGGCACTGATATTGTGGGGGGTGGAAGCGGACAGAAAAATAAGTCCATTAAGAAGGTGAGGCATGTTTTGGAGAAAATAAAGCAGGGCAAGGAATCCAGAGGGCTGAGAAGGCAGAGAAATAATTTGAGATGAGATGGTCACAGAAGGCCTCACTGAGGTGTTGTCTGAGCAAAGACTTAAAGGAAGTGACCATATTCTCCCTACCTGCAGGCAAGAAAATGGAAATGTCTGCCTGGGAGTAGAAACTGTTCACTCCTGTTTAAGGTTTCTTGAAAGAATCTAATCTAGAGGCAGAAAGATGGAGAAGAGAACTTGGAAAGGGTCAGGCAGAGGCCACTTCTCTGCCTCAGCGTCAGGTCCCATGCCTTTCCTGGCCTTTCACCAGCCCACCCAGCGGAGACCCTCCGCATGCTGGTACTCAGCCCTTCTGAGCTGCCAGCACTGTGACCTCAGCTCCACTTCTCCCTTTCTCTAGGGAGGTGCTCCCACCTTTGCCACCAGGAAGCCACAAGGTCAGATCTGAGGTTCTCCACTCCCCACACCCCAGGCAAATCTCTGGTCTTAGAGTCTCCCTCAGCCTCCTTCCCTGAAGGTTCCACTGAACTCTGGGCTGATTCAGGGTCCGCCAGGGGCATGGAAATCCCAACTCTGGTTAAAGACCAGCTACGTGAATTTTGAAATCCTCAGAGTCCCCACCTGGAAAATGGTAATGATATATCAAAGCAGAGGTTTCTGGTACTGAGTATAGCCTGAAGAAAACAAACAAACAAAAACCCCAAATCAAAAAAAACTCATTGCTGTTGAATCCATTCTGCCTTATTTCTATCTTATAGGACAGACTAGAACTGCTCCAGAGGGTTCCTAAGGCTGTTACTTTACAAAAGCAGACAGCTATATATTTATCTAATGGAGCAGCTGGTGGGTTTGAACTGCTGACATTTTTGTTAGCAGTGGAACACTTTAACCACTGAGTCACCAGAGCTCTAAAGAAATGTCAGTTTATTTTCTTTCTCTTTTCCTTGGCTTCCATCCAAAACAAAGATTGGCTTGTCCTGAGTCCTTGCTACCCATGCCATCTGACCTACATAGAATCCCTGCAGGCCATCAGCCATCAGCTCCACAGTCCCTTCTAGAGGGATAGTGTGTGGAAGATCCAGTTGTGGCAAAGAAGAAAAAGGTAGGGGGACATACCATTATGTGTGGAGGCTGGAAGTAGATACACTAAGGCATGAAATTCTTTGCTGGTAGTTTCCCCATTTCCAGAGGGGGAGGAGCTTGAATAGGACAAGACCTGGACCCTTTTCCCAACAGACCCAGTATTAGAGGCCAACAGCCTTCTGCCTGCCCTTGACCCCAGCTTGTCTGTGCTCTTTTGTGGCTCTCCTTGCCCTGCCTCCTTGCCTGGCTACCAGCCTGCACCATCCCAGCCTCCCTCTGACTACTCTTTCTCCTCCAATCTTTCTCATTCCCTGCTGTCTATCCCCAGTTGACTTTTTTTTTTTTTT